TCAATTACTTTGTTTTTTCGCGACACATTACTAATTCAATTACTAAATTCAATTATTTTTATTTTCCAATATTATTACTAAATTTAAAAAATTTTTTGCGACAAACTACCAAATTCATATTAATGAAAAAATTTTTTTGCGACAAATTACTAAATTCAAATTTATTATTATTTAATACAATTAAGTAATGATCGACAAAATTTTTACTATATCGAGCTCTAGTTAATATAATGGGTACCAAGTAAAACTTCACTATATGATTATATAGAGAGTTTATATTAAAAATCACTATATCGAGCAGAATTTATATGTAATGAAATGGGAAATTTTCCAACTTCACTATATCGTATGATTACTATATAGTAGGTTCACTATATCGAGCACCGACTGTAGTAATTAATGCCGATCATTTCTTAAATTGAATACCCGCTATGAGTTTTGACTGTATATTTTATTTGATATCTTTCTTAAAACGTCAACGGCTTGTCCATATCTTTCCTGTAAACTTGGGCTGAGAGTTCTAGATAAAATTATTGAATAGAAAGTATACTTAATATTGTTGCCAAAATTGAATTTATTATTAGAGTTTCGGGTGTGGCGTTTGGATACAAAATTCCGATTGAATTCGTTATTCCCGTAGTGATACTACAAATATATAAAGTAGTTGTACGACAAACCAAAATTCTTCTTTCTTGTTGTCAATATCCTATAAAACTCTACGATTTTGCACTATCTTAGTATCAGTAGACAATTTACAAAATGTCTGACAAACCAAGATCCCATGTTATTGTGAATCCTTTCAGTAAGCTAACTAACAAATAAGTCTATCGTTATTAAAATAATTTGCCAATTTTTATGGGTATTTTTACAATTATTATTAGAAAACGTTGAACTTCGTCTGCCTATTGAAGTGCTAATGGGTAGACCTGAATATAAAAAACGAAGAGATCTGTTTCTTCAAGGTTTTGCCGCTGTTCAACAACGAGATTACGAAGATCCCAGATCCTTTTATGCAGTTGCTGGTATCCATGGCCTTCCTTTTGTGCCTTATGACTTGTTGCCTGGAGAAAAAGAACCATCTACTGACTGGCACAAAGGAGAAAATGATCGCTGGGGTGGCTATTGTCATCACGGTGATATACTCTTTCCAACTTGGCATCGTCCATATGTTTTATTGCTTGAAATGCTTATATACGAAGCGGCCAAGGAGATTATAAGTGATGATACAAAAAAGTAAAAATTCATATTTCCTTAATTTTTATAAATTACTTTTATTTATTTTTTATTTATTTTGCTTTTACATTAACAAGTTACCCTCCTGGAGAAGAAACTAATAAATATAAAGATGAAGTTGAGAAAATTCGATTTCCATACTGGGATTGGGCCAGTCCATCAACTCTCACACAAGGCATACCTTCGGTCATATTTGACGAGTACGTTTATGTTGACAACCCAAACAACTCGAAAGTCAGAATCAGAAATCCTCTTCGTGCCTTTACTTTACCACAAGACCTTGGAAGTTTAGTACTTGTTGGTGATATTTCTAATCCAACACAAAGACCTTACAGTCCAGATGCTACTACTCCCTATACACCAAAAGGATATGCCACAGTCAGACATCCAGACAGCAATTACAAGTCCAATGTAGATGCCACTAACCTCAATGTCGTCACATTTTGTAGTTCTGTATTTCGTCCAGTCCTTTATCAAGTTCTTTTGGTTGATGAATGGCGCCAATTCAGCAATCATGGGGACAAGGAGGATCATCCTCCCGACGAAAATTATGGTCATTTTGCATCACTTGAAGTTGTCCATGATGCAGTTCATGATGCAGTTGGTGGGGCTGGTGGCCATATGACATATCCTGACATCGGTGGTTTCGACCCTATTTTCTTCCTTCACCATGCTAACGTGGATAGACTTTTAGCTATTTGGCAGGCATGTCACCCTGATGTTTGGATCATTAAAAATGATTATACTGTAGGCAGCTTTACTAATCTACCTAATCAACCTATTGATGAAGATACTGAACTTACGCCATTCCGTAGAACAGAGGATAAGTGTTGGACCTCAAAGGAAGTAAGGTGTGTATTTAATTAATACATTAAGTTTTTTTTGCAGTTTAATTTGACTATTTTTTGCAAATAATAGAAACATTACGGACCTTGGATACAACTATCCTGACCTTACGAAATCCGTAGACTCGCACCAACTTTGGCTTGATATGTTAGATTATTATCATCCGAACCAATACCTGTAGGTATTGCTTTTCCGTATATTCTTACTTAAATTAATCACATACCAATTAAATTAACTGTATTCAAAAATCCAACAGACAATATCATTGGAAGCTCACCTTGACCGTTCTGAAAAATAAAGTCGGCTCACCATTCCAAATTCGAGTCTTTCTTGATTTGCCAAACGCAAATGCTTCGATTCCTATCACCAGCTTACATTTTGCCGGCCTCATATCAATCTTTGCTCGTGGTAGTGAAACACAATGTGCTAACTGTATCTCCAATTCAGAAGCGGTGGTCAATGGTTCTGTTGACCTTACCACATGCATGCAGAAACTTTTAATGGATCTAAATCCAGAACCTGGTGAAGGCAACCTTGTGCATACTTTGGAGCCAGATCAAATCACACTTGTGGCCGTTTTGAAAGATGGAAGCGAAAAAAGTCTTGAAGATGTTGGTTTAATTTCCGCGAAATATTGGGTATTTAATGAAGGTCCCAAATATGATCGAAAACCAGAAGATTGGATGAAAACGAGAAAGCTCATGGGTGAGGTTTATCCTTCTCCAAAAACTACTTAGAGGAGAACTACTTTCAGCATTTTTTATTTTGTCAATGTTTAATATTTAAACAATATTTTGTTAAAAAATAACAATCAGTCATTTAAATTGTATTATATTTTTCAACAAATAAATAATTGTAAAATATGTTGTGTGATTTGATGTGCTGAAGCTTGTTCTTCATATTTATTGGTCTTTGAGAAATACAACGAAAATACCCACACCAAATGAGTTTTTTGGTTTCAACTCTTAATACACATTCCCTCTAAAGATCTTTTGCAACAACTGATAACAGTCGAAAGCGAATTAACTTTTTATCTATTTTGTCTGCGAAAACAATTTCACTCGTAGCAGAAACTTCGAAGGACCCATGCTACAAATGTGGGGACGTCTAAAATGAAAAATTACATCGAACCCTTTGGTGACGCTACTTAGTTATACCAATGTGGGTAATATAACATTAAATCTGGGCCCTTACTCAATATTTCAGATTTAATTTTAAATAACCGAGTGATGCATGCAATTAATTTATTTAGTTTTATGTAACAAAAAAAACCCCCCGTAAATTTTTTGTGCAATTTATAAAAAAAGATGTTTTTTGTTCTTTCTAGCACACCAATTGCCACATATCACAAAGATTAAGACGCCGTTTTGATTCAAGTCGAATTTTTGAAAGTCAATTATTTTAAACTCAAAATTTATTCATGAAGGCTTCAACCTAAAAATGTTCTGTTAATTGTGTGATGATTATTCAACAATGTTCATGTATTGAAACATCAAAATTTTTTGGTGAGTTTGTTAAAGAAAGAGAGTAGAAATGAATTTGCTGATTTTCATAATTGATTTTTTAACTATTAAATGGAACAAAATCAACTTCATTGCCTGATATCAAAGGCAATTAAAAATAAGTTTTATATTAATAGAACCTTCTGAATTTTCAGCTTTCTTTTGATATATATTTTTTATATATTTTCATCAAACAAATAAAAGATTTCTGGTTTTTTTTTTTGTATACTAACACTATTACTATATTTGTATTTGTAACGAGGGTTCATTTTTAGTAATATTAAACTAAAATCTAATTTGCCGGCAATATCTTTCCAGACATGCTTTCAAATGGAATTTGTGACAATTCCAAATGATTTTTTGGATGTGTCGCTCAAAGATGTTCAATTGGATTGAAGTCATATGATTGTGGACAATATTTTTCCTTGAAAATAATAATTTCGATTTATTAAATTCATTTTGTGATTGATTAAAGATAACAATAAATAGGTTCTCTCCCAAGATTCGAATCGAATCGAATCCAGCCTTTTTGAATTCGAATTATGAATTGGTTCGATCCAAAGCTATCGAGACTCTATTAGGTTTGTTCGGGCCTTAATTAATAAACATTATTATTATAGTAGAAAAATTTATATTACTATATATGGGACCTATTTACTGGTAAAAGTCCAAAAATCGTGTTAGGTATATATTTGGATACACACACACGTTTTTGATATTAATATAAAAAGTTGCACAAATTATTTATTTTTTATTTTTTTTATTTTTTTTTTAAAAAAAAACAAAAAAACAAAATGAACAATTTACCATTAGAAATTTTAAGTGAAATATTCAAATATTTTCAAGATGATCATGAAACGTTATTTTCTTGCATTCTGGTTAATAAACTATGGCATAATATCAGTATTCCAACTTTATGGGAAAATGTATTATACAATAGTGAAGGCAGTAGTATTAAAATATTGATTAATTGTTTATTGGTAGAAGATAGGGATTTTTTAACAAAACATAATATTAAACTTGATTTTCAATTATTGAAGAGACCGCCATTACACAATTATGCCAGATATATCACTAGATTAGATCCTTATTTCTTTAGTTCGTTGCATATTAGATTTCAGTATTTGGAAGGAAGATTAATAAATTTTATTTTAGATCATTCGATAGCCATAAGGGAACTCCAGATTGCTGATTTAGACCACAAACAGTTGATAGATCATCACAGATTTGGTTATTGCTTTCAGAATCTTCATAAATTGTATAGTAACTATAAGAGTGAACTTTTTGATAAGCTGACAGCCACGTGTAAAGACATTCAAACGTTAAGAATAGATTATAATGATAATATTGATAGAGGTAATGATAGTCTAGGCAGACTAATTAAAGCACAAACTCAAATTAAACAAATGGTCATATGCTTACATAATGATCAAAAATTTTCAAATAATTTCAAAAAAGCAATATTGTCACATTCGCAATCGATAACTAGTTACACTTGTATTGGAAGGAATAATCTGAATTCTGTAGTAATATCGACATTCACAAATTTAAAATCACTGTCATTAAGTAGAGATTATGGAAACATAAAATATTTAAAATCTGCCTTTTTTCCAAAGATTGAGGATGTATATCTAAACAAATCCTCCCAACCATTTATATTGGACTTGTCGGATTTTATCAAGGTCAATGGAAATAATCTTAAAAAATTGAAAATTAGTGGTGAACCAACTGATAAAGAATATTTGGGAACATTGTTTAAATCAATCGGTCAAAATTGTCAAAGTCTAGAAGAATTGTATATTTTTTATAGGAATGAAGTAGAACAACAGCTAATTGATATATTTAATAATTGCATTAAATTGAATTCCATTTCATTAAATCGGTTTTTTCACAGGGAAGGTATATTTGATGGTGATAAGGTAGTGGCAATTCTAAACGAATCTTTGCCAAAAAATTTAAAAACTTTGATTTTTGACAATGATGTTACTTTATCTGACAACTCACTTGGAATTTTGATGAAGAATTGGAAAGGGCCTATACCTTTTACGATGAAATTACTAAGAGATTATGCTGGATCTTATATCGTAGAAGATAAATTACAAGATATATTAAAAAAGTATCAAGATCTGGGATTTTTAAATTAAATTTTAAAATAAAAATAAAAATAAATTGATTATTGGGAATAAGATCTGCATTTAAAGGAACTTACTATTGATCTTGAATCTTTAAAGAAAAGTCATAATGTGTTTTCTAATCTTTCTTTACATTATTATTATTATTATTGATTTTAATTGGCTGAAAATAAATTGAAACACACATCTTTTTTTATATATATTGAAGAAAAAATTAGTAAGGTGGTGTTAAAAAACTTCGAACATCATTTACAAATATATTTGAATGCATATTAATATTATCTATTTTTTTTTTTATTATTACCTAACAATCGATAAATTTTCTTTCTTTTCAAAAATTTTAAATTAAAAAAATGACAACTTCTTTACGTTTTGTTCGAAACCTTTCTACGCGTGCCTTTAAACCTAATAATTTTAAAAAACTATCAATTGCTAATACTAATGCTAGTAATGCTAGTAACAGTAACGGCATTTTTATAGCAAATAATAATAATGGTATGTTATTTCCAAATACTACAACCACCACTAATTCAATCTTTATTCGTAACCAATATGCAATTATCGCACGTAAAAGTTCAACGACAACAAATAATGAGAGTAATAAAGCTGATGGCAGCGGTGGTAGCAGTGGTGGTAATTCTGCATTATGGTTAGGTGCAGGCTTAGTAGCTGTAGGCGTAGGATATTTTGCATATAATTCTGAGACTATACTTGCCTCATTACAAAATCTCAATCCTGCTACACCATCATCAAAAACTGCAACAACACCAGATTATCAAAAAATTTATTATGAAATTGCCGATATACTTGAGGATGATAATCATGACGATGGTAATTTTGGTCCGCTATTTATACGTTTGGCATGGCATGCAGCTGGTACATATGACAAGGAAACTAACACTGGTGGTAGTAATGGAGCAACCATGAGATTTAGCCCTGAATCGCATCATGGCGCTAATCTTGGTTTGCAACTTGCAAGAGATAGATTGGAAGAAGTTAAAAAAAAGAATCCTGAAATTTCTTATTCTGATTTATGGAGTTTAGCTGCTGTTGTTGCAATTCAAGAAATGGTATATATAGATTGATTGTTGTGTTTTGGATGCTAATTTCCTTTTATGAAAATTGTTAATTATTAATTGTTAATAAATGTTATAGGGTGGTCCTATAATTCCATGGATACCTGGCCGGTGAATTATTATTATTTTTAAAAAAATTATTACTTTGGTTTTTTTTATCAAAATAAAAAATAAAATTATAAAATTATATGTATATATATATATATAGTCTAGATGCCACAGCTGACAAATGTACACCAGATGGTAGACTTCCAGATGCAACCAAAGATACCGACCATCTTCGTGATATTTTTTATCGTATGGGATTTGATGATCGGTAAGATTAAAACTTATATGTTAAATTAAATATATGTATATATATAATTTAAATATCATTTACTCCTGCTCATCCTCTCGTCCTCATCTTCCAATTATTATTAATAGTGAAATTGTAGCATTATCAGGAGCACATGCATTAGGTCGTTGCCATCCTGACAGAAGTGGATTTGATGGGCCATGGACTTTTTCACCTACAACAGTGACAAATGGTTTTTACAAAGAACTTTTAGAAAAAAAATGGGTTGAAAAAAAATGGAAAGGTCCAAAACAATATGTTGATAAAGAAACTGGTAAATAGTTAATTTGAGGATTGTTTCTTTATTGGAAAGAGATTGAAAAATAAACTATATAATTGTTTGTTTGATTTTTAGGTAACCTTATGATGCTTCCTACTGACATAGCCTTGACCAAAGTAAAACATATATAATTATTTATTTTTTTTTTTTTTCAGCTTTCTTTTAATTAAAGAATTTCTTTATAATTACTAGGATAAAAAAATGAGGCCTTGGGTAGAGAAATACGCAAAAGATGAAGGGTTATGGTTTAAAGATTTTAGTGAAGTGTTTCATAAATTAGAAGAACTTGGAATACCAAGAACTGGTCAAGAAACAATTTATCGATTTAAACGAACTGGTGAATAAATAGTAACGATGATGTCATGTGTCATGTGATGTTTATTACATATTATATTTATATTATTTATGAAAAAAGAAAATAATCAGAGAAAATAAACAAACAAAATAAACAAAATTACAAAATTAAAAATTTTTTTTTTTCAATTAAATATTTGTCTAATCTAATCTACTAAACTCTAACAAAATTTTTTTATAATTTTAATTTATATTTTTTCCAATTATTTTATTTTTCTTTGCCAAAATTTCTTCCAATGTTATTAAACAAGATATCCAAAAAAATTTAAAGTGGAACTTCTTGTAAAGAAGAATTATCATGTTGTTGTTTAGGTAAATTCAAAAAATTATCAACATTTTCATCTTCACCACTAATATTAATATTGGTGGTGGTGATGGTGGTGGTGGTGGTAGTGGTAGTGTTGTGGTCAAGATTATTTTCTTTGATGATAATAATATTATTATCTGATGGTGTTGATGTTGATGTTGATGTTGATGTTGAGGTGTTGGTGGTGGGAGATTCATGTTGTAATTCTTGTAATGAAAAACTAATATCATGATGACCTTTAAAAGATCCTGATATTTCATCTTCTTCGTTATTATTATTACTATTATTACTACTATTATTGGTATTACTATTATTACTACTATTATTAAAATTTATATCAAGAATATTATCATTATTAATATTAGTATTACTACTATTAGTATCACTTTCATTATCAAGACCACCTTTATTTTCATAGATATGTTTATTATTAAGGTCAATTTCTTGAATTGTTGAACTATTACTATAATGACTAGCAGTATTTGGTAAATTTAATTCATTATTTCCTCTATTATTTCTACTAGTTTCTTCACTACTACCATTATTATTTTCTTCGTCGCCGTCACAAATATTACTGTGACAATTGACGTTATTTTTATTATTTTTATCACAACAATTATTATAAAAAAATATCCAACTAATTTTATAATTTTTTTTATAATATTGGTATAAAATTTCTGTTTTTAATTCCCATGAAAATAAACTTGTTATAAAAAATAATCCGAAATTAAACCAAGTGAATATTATACTTGTAACCCATAAATTACATAAAGTTTTTATATTTAGAGCGAACCCGATTGATTTAGCTTGACAATGTAGCCAATCTGATCCCACATATTCTGGATCAAGTACCACTAGGCCTATTAATAAAAAATCAGAAATTTTATATGATGTGAAATTTTTAGAAATATATTTTTGGGAGGAAATAATAAAGTTTTTACTTACCGGTTGCTAGCCACAAAAAAGTATAAAGACTAAATAAAATAAAATAAATCATTAAATAGGCAATTTCAACACGTGATAAATAAATATATATATATATATATATATAAATAATATTTACTCACAATTCTACCAAAACACTTGATCCATTTTTCCAAATTCTTGCAAACATTACAAAATATATAGCTAATTTTTGAAATAAATATAAACATTATTGATTTGTTTATTTTTCTTGAATGATAATTTATTAAAAAAATTTAATGAATTGGTTTTACTTATTACCACTTGTCAATATTGTTAAACTGCACATGAATAAAAGCCAAATTTTAATTTGTCCATTAGTACTAAAAATTAATTTTTTGATTAATAAATATGTTAGTTGGTGGTCGAAAAAAAAAAAAAAAATTTAAAAAATCATGGATTGGAATTTTCACACGCGTTAATGATTTCTCGAAATTCGCTATTATAAGATATCCGAAATTCAAATGACCCGAAAAATATCTAATTACTTACTCTGTATCATTATTTGCTTTATCAAACCAATCGTCAGGTTGACCCGGAAAATTATTTTTATAATGAAAAAGTTGTGCCAACTCTTTATATATATATAAATATATATATTCATGTAAAAATCATGTTCGTTAATTAAAGTTGATCAAATTTTTATTAATAATAGTAATAAAATTAAAAATATTATATTTACCGAGTATTAAAATAACAATCGAAAATAACAATTGCAAAACCTTTAAAAAAATTAAAAATCGCGGATGCCTTCTAAATACAATCATTTTAATATTTTTATCGTTAAAAAATTATTACGTCTTTTTTTTTTTCAATTATAAATAAAGGACAGAGCAAAAAAAATCCCGTAAAAAATTTAAAAATAAATTTTTTAAATATATAATTAACTGACGAAGGAAAATGGGATTTTGGGAAAAAAAGAAAAAAAAACCTTTTTTTTTTAATTTATAACCTTATATATGTAAGATATAGATTAATGTTCGTTTATTATTTATACACACAAATATAAAAGCATGAAATTAATTTTTGTGTTTCTATAAAAAGAAATCGAATTATATTGGTTGGATAAATAAAACTAAATGCATTGTTAAACAATTTCCTTTATAAAGTTAAAAGAAAACTTACTATCTATCAATCATCACATAAAAACTTGCGTGTGCACATCTTTTCAATAAATTAAATGATCGAAATTTACCTGTCAAGATTTTCGTTAATAAATTGCACACGCACATATCAACTTACATTATTCTCTTTTTTTTTTTTTTTGTTTGTACAAAATTCATCAAATATAGTTTCTTTAAAATTTTTTTTATTATTTGATAGCATATTAATGATATTCAATTGGAAAATTTGAAATTTTTTTTTGCAATATGACAGGAGAAAGACTGTTGTACATGCCGTAATATGTCACTGGCGGATAAATGTCACTCCAAAAAATTAAATAAATTAGGGTTTTTAAAGCAAAGTTATCTAAACATTTTCGCGTGGTATTTGTAGCAAAATAAAAAAAACTAAATTATTAACTAAACACTAATATATACTAATGCTAAACGATACTACTGTTATTATCTTATAATTTTTGTTATAACGAACTGGAGGAGAAAAAGTTGAAATGGCGGTAATTTTGGTAGGTTTAGGAGAATTCCGAAATACAATAGAAATCACAATGTAAATCTTTACCAAAGTAATCAAATTTAGAAATTAAGATAGCGCAAGATGAGATATTGATAACAATACATGCAATTCAAAATTTTATATTTTGCAAACTAAAAGTTTATAAGGTTTATAGTTATGATTAGAAGCATTGCTTGCTTGATACAAGCACAAAAAAAAAGTTTGCTTATTATTAATTTTTATTTTTTTATTATTATTATTTATATTTATTAGAATTAATTCGTAATCCGTGAAACAACTGCAAAAATTTGCCGATCATTGATATGTTTTTGTGGCGAATATAATCATTAATTGCTTATAGTAACAATTGGTCAACTTCAAATACTAAAACAAAAAAAAATTATATCATTTTAAAAAATTTAACCGATAAGTTTTATTGTTCATGATTCAAGCTTCAAACTTATCGGCTGGTTTTTTCTTAAACTGAAAATTGGCAGAGCATTTTGAAAATTCCGAATTTTGTTATACATTTAAGAAATTGAGACTAAGTAAATTTCGTGTACAACTTTTTTTTCATAGAATATTTTCTACAACATACACTTGATTTATTTGATTTATTTATTTTCTTTTTTTTTATTAATAAATAAAAGTTCTTTACAACAAAAAAGTTTAACAAACATATTTACATTAAAAGAAAATCATTACCAAATTTGGTCATGAGGTTCAAAATATTGTAACACGAAAATTATTGTTCCATAACGTGACAGTGAGCTTCGTGTCTTTTACTCACACAACACAAACGACATCACTCAGGTCAAGACAATAGTCTATTTTATTAATTCAAAAAAATACAAATAGGACGGCCGTCCCCACATTTTTTTTTCGTTTTTTCGTAGAGAAA